ATGTCCATCTAGGAAGAACATTTATTACTTCAAGTGTGTGTGTGTGTGTGTGTGTGTGTGTGTGTGAGTTGGTATTGATGCTTGAACTCAGCGCCTGAGTGCTGTCCTTTAACTTTTGTGCTCAAGGCTGGCACTCTGCCACTTGAGCCAGATCTCCACTTCTGGATTTTGCTGGTTAGTTGGAGATAAGAGTCGCATAGACTTTTGGGCTGACTTTGAACCATGGTTCTCAGATTTCAGCCTCTTGAATAGTTGTATGAACTGTCAATGTCCAGTTTGTTACTTAGTTTTTGTTTTTGTTTTTCTAAGTAGTGGGGATGGGGAAACAAGAAAACCCTACTCAACCCAGTGCTACTTGGAATATGTCAATTCAGTGCAAATCCATGCTGCATCTGGGAATTTCTTATTGGAGCATGTGTTGTGTTCCATGTGCTGTGTGAGGTTTTGTGGAGACAGACTGAAAAGTCAGCCTGGCCCATGTCCTCAAGGAACTTCTAGTGTAGCGTTCAGAACTCCAGCAAGTCCCTACAACATTGTCTCTGGTTTGTGCTACCAAACAGAGAGTAGGTTCTCTGCAGGCCTGCTACAGGAAGGCTTAGATTGGAGGGGAAGATGGAGGGAGTTAGACCAAGGGGAAGGCAGTGCATTCCAGGCAGAGGCTGTCAAGTTCAGCCGCCCTGCCACAGGGTAGAGTCAGGAAGGGGAAGGGCGCAATGCAAAGGGCAGGCCATGGGGAGCTTGTAGTGTTGATTCCAAGAGCAATGAGGACTTATTAGGGCTTTGTGTGGGAGGACCTGACTAGATCCGCCGCTTCCAAAAGCCACTCTGACTGTGGCTTAGGGAGCAGATTGGAGGGGGGCCAGGGTGAAGGTGGAGAGTCCATTGCAGCTCTGCAGGGCTGCTGGCTCAAGAGGGAAGACGTAGGGTGGGTGTTGGTGAGCAGCAGAAAGGGGAGATGGGTCTTCCTGCAAGCAGAGGTGCTGGGTTACTTGAGACTCAGGACTGTAGTCTGAGCATTGGCTGGGAATCAGGGAGAGAGGTCTGGGAACCTGAAATACCCAAATGAAGAAACACCATAGCCCCAGGAGAACAAGTGGTGTGTGCTGTAGAGGTGGGCCATACCTACGTCTCTTCATCCCCCTCCACAAAGCTTTGCAAAAGGCTTTGGCAAGTCTTTAGTAGATACCTGTTGAATATTATTTCTACTGTATCAAAATTGTACCCCAAAAAGATAGACTTGCCAGAACATCTTCCAGAATGTTGTTAGGGATTATTTGTAGTGATGAGGTTATGTGGAATGTTCATTTTTCTTCACTTTTCAGAAAATTGAAAAAAAATCAAGAATGCATAGGTTACACTTTGTTATCAGTAATGGGTCTAAAGCTCAGGGCCTCGTGCTTTCTCATGCTTTTGTTTAGCCTTTTTACTCAAGGCTGGCACTCTACCACTTGAGTCACACCTCCACTTCTGGCCTTTTGATGGTTAATCGAAGATAAGAGTTTCATGGAGAGCTGGGAAGGTGGCTCAGTGGTAGATTGCTTGCCTTGCATGCATGAGGCCCTGGGTTCAATTCCTCAGCACCACATAAGCAGAAACAGCCAGAAGTGGTGCTGTGGCTCAATTGGTAGAGTGCTATCCTTGAGCTGAAGAGCTTAGGGACAGCGCCCTGGCCCAGAGTTCAGACCCCATGACTGACAGAAAGAAAAGAAAAGAGTTTCATGGATTTGTCTGCCTGGTCTAGCTTCAAACCCTAATCCTCAAATCTCAGCTTCCTGAACAGCTAGGCTTATAGCTGTGATGCATTGGCATCAGGCTCTCACTTAAAAAAGACAATTAACTTGAATATATTGGTTTATAAAAATATAGGTGACTTTAAACACTTACAAAGCAGAAAAGTAATGGTTGAAGACATGGTTGAAATAGCAGAGGGCTTTGCCTAACAAGCCTTTATTTAAACTCCAATACTACCAACTCCCCCCCCCCCCCCCCACCAAAAAGAAAAAAACAACAAACCAAAACCTAACAACATTTAACTCATTTAGCTCTCACCGGTTACCATGTACCAGTTACCGCCATTACTCTGTGGCCTGCAGCCCTCAGCTTGTCCTGTGCACATATCTGAAAAGTGGTGTGTGTGTGTGTGTGTGTGTGTGTGTAAGGGTGGTCATGGAATACAGGCTGTTATATCACCCATCACGAATGCTTTTCTCGTCAATACGAGCAGATCTGGAGCATTTCCAATGGCTGTACAGTGTGTATTCAGTGTCATGGATGTGCAGAATTCAACTAAGCAATGTTTTGCTGATGATCACATAAGACATTCAACCTTTCATCTTTATAATCAATGCTGATGCCTTTTAAAAGCAGTGTGTAACAGGAATTGACCTCCTTAGCGGATGAGACTATCTGGACTATCATGTAGACCTTACATGCCTCTCAGCACAGGCCGAAGGAGCCTGCCCTTCTCTCCCCTTCCCTTCCTTCCTTTTCCCTCACAGCTCCTCCCCTCCTTTCCCCTCCCCTCATCACCTTCATGGCTTACCCTGCTATTCCCTGTTCAGACATGGACAGCTCACAGGAGCCAGAGCCATCAACCATGTCATTGTGGAGTCCCTAAGGAGGTCTTTGCAAGGCATCCATGTTCTTTATGTTCATGTGCTCACTGGGGATTTCCAATTCTTGCCTATGATTATCCCTCCACCCACACATTCTTCCCAGCATCCTCAGCCATGGCCTGCACTTGCTCTGCCTGCTAGTAAGATGTCAGCTTTGATCCAGACTCGGGGCCTGGGCTGGCCTGGCCTGTAGCCCCACTGGTTAGGTACTGGCTTGGTCTAGGTGGAGAGGATTCAGGAGCTGGGGCTATGGTGGTCCTCTAACTTCTTCCTTTTCTCCCTTTCCCCACCAGGGAACTCAATGGCAACAACATCACTCGGATCCACAAGAACGACTTTGCTGGGCTCAAGCAGCTTCGGGTGCTGTGAGTATGGGGTTGCTGCCTCCCTGTGTGGCTTTCCTCACACCTTCACCCTTGGCACAGCTCTGGGTAGGAATTGGGGGAGGGTGATAGGCTGGCCTGGATCCTCACTGTGGGGTCAGTCTTGGGGCCTTGAGGGGGTGGGGGGAGGTGGAGTCCTGATCCCAACCAGCTTCTGTCTCTCACCTAATGGAAGAAGTGAGCTATGGCAAAGGGTCTGGGCTTGCAAATTGGGCAGCTTTGCCCATTCATTCGATGTCTCCTGGGGATGAAGGAGACCAGGTGGCAGTGCGGAATCTTGTTTTTTTTTTTTTCCTTTTCTTCTTTTTTTGGTACTGAGGATCGAACACAGGGTTGCATTTTGCTAGACAAGTGCCTTGCCACTGAACTACATCCCAGCCCTGGATCTTTAGGTGTGTATTTAGTCAGTCTGGTGTCCATGGCATTTGCCACAGAGTTCTGAGCAGCAGGCCTGTTTTTCTCACAGCTCTGGAGGCTGGACTCCCAGAGGGAGGTTGCATTCTCATTGGGCACCTCTGGCTTGCAGATGGCTACCTCCCTGTGGGTGGCCATATGAGGGTGTTTTGGACATTAGGGTCTAATATATAAAGAGTGGGTGTGGAGTATGAGTCAGTCCACAACAGTCCCCAGAATTCTTAGGAACTCATGCCTCAGAGGGATTCCCATAGAGACCGCAGCCCTATTTTGGTAGAGAGGACAGTTAAAGACCTGGCTAGCTCCATTCAGGAGTGAGAGGTGGCAGACATAAGCTTTGGGCTGGGTTGTTTGCCAGCTGCAAGGGGCATCCACAGCATTTGTCTTGCCAGATGGGTCAGGCTGAGTTGCTCTGGGAGGACCTTCCTTCCTTCCTTCCTTCCTTCCTTCCTTCCTTCCTTCCTTCCTTCCTTCCTTCCTTCCTTCCTTCCTTCCTTCCTTCCCTCCTTCCTTCCTTCCTTCCTTCCTTCTTTCCTTCCTTCCTTCCTTCCTTCCTTCTTTCCTTTCTTCCTCTCTCCTGCTCTGCCATTAAAGGGAGCCCGGGAATGTATGCATTCTGACCTAGGAATGGCTCAAACCCAGGAGAGCAGGAAGAATAGCAATTTCTTTTTATTGTTTAACACTGAGCCCCTGCCCATCTGGCTGGCAGGAAATGCAGCACCAGACGTTCATAGGGTCCCTCCCACCCCCTACTCCAGGATAGTGCAATGTAATGGTCTTGGGCCTGTGTTTTCATACTGAGTCTAGAGTGCTGAGGACCTATGGAGGAGTGGAGTAGTTTGTGGTCAGTGCCTGCTGAGATCAGAGGTGACCCTTTCCTTTTCCTGAGTCTGGAGAAGCCTCCTTCTTTCCTGGCATCCCCAGTGACCCTGAGAGCTTAAATAGAGAAAGAGAAGTATCTGATAGCAGTTCCTGCCCTTGCTCTGCCTCAGACCCACGCTAGGACATGAGAGTCACCTGCTTGAGATTGGAGAGTGAAAACACAGAAGAAAAAAACCCTTTCAGTATCTTAAACTTTATCATGTATTGGTAAAAACACTTCCTCCGTAGCTGGAGGAAGGCTTCAGAGTGAGTTGGTGGTGAGGAGATGCAGAGTCCTCTGGCATCAGGTGGTCTGTTGGCCCAGAACCCCAGTCTTAAGCAGATGGGGCCAGGCAGAATAAGGGTGCAGCAGAGAGGGGTTTATTGCATGTGTGGGCTCTGCCCTGTTGGCAAAGTCTTCCCTCCCTCCATACTGGCTGATGCTGTCTGCTTTGCGCCTTGGGCACATACCCTGGGCCAAAGGAGAGTCCTTTATAGCACCCACAGCTTTCCTGTAGCATGTCTGAGGGCACTGGCCCCTCAGCGCTCGTGGCTTCCAGGGGCCAGCTTGGGGAGGGGCTGGTGGCACATCTTGCTGTCAGGCTGGTGCTGGGGTGGGGTGGGGCTGTGCTGGGGAATTTGCAGAGTTGTAAGGAAATGTGTCCACTCAGACTAGGACACGGGTCTGCATGAGGACTGGCATGGCTCCGGTCTCACACTGGTGCCAGCTTTGCCCTGGCAGAGCCCTTCCCTCCTACCAGCTGTTTCCAGGTGTCCTGGTCCAACCCACTGTGGCTGTTGTCTCTCCTTCCCCAGGCAGCTGATGGAGAACCAGATTGGAGCAGTGGAGCGGGGAGCGTTCGATGACATGAAGGAACTGGAGCGACTGTGAGTACTGGGGCGGGGGGCGCGGAGGAAGGAGGAGGAGGAGGCGGGGGGGGGGGGGCGGGTATGGGCTTGGGAGGGCAGGGATGGCAGAGAGGGAATCTACCAGCCAAGCTGCTGACAGTGACAACTCGGGGGCACTCCTTGGGTTGCCCTGCCTGATGGATCTGGGGGCAGCTGCAGTGGTAGAAGAGGTTATGGGCACAGTGAATTGGTGGCAGAGAGAAAGCTGGAACGTGCATCCCTCCCTGCACCTCCTCATTTTGTGTAACTCTGTTTGTCCCTGAAAATACACAATGATTAAAATTCACACAAATGAAGTAATTTCTTCTTGTGTTATCCCAAGACATAATCAGCAAGCATTGACTTGAATGAGTAAAACCAGTGAACCATTGTTCATTGATTTGTGAACCTTTCTTCTCATTTTTATCTATCTATCTATCTATCTATCTATCTATCTATCTATCTATCTATCTATCTATCTATCTATCTATCTATCTATCTATCTATCTATCTATCTATCTATCTATCTATCTATCCATCCATCCATCTATCTATCTATCTGCCTACCTATCTATCTATGATCTATTTTTCAGTTCTGAGGTTTGAACTAAGGGTCTTTCACTTGTTAGGCTGGCAGTCTATCACTTAAGCCACATCTCCAGGACTTTTTGTGTGTGTGCCAGTCCTGGGGCTTGAATTTAGCGTGTGGGCACTCTCCCTGAGCATTTTTTTTTTCTCAAGGCTAGCACTCTGCCACTTGAGCTGCACCTCTACTTCTGGCTGTTTGGTGGTTATTGCTAGTAGCATTTTGCAAATGAGAAAAGACCACAGCTATTCAAAAGAGGGAATTAGAACTCTAATCATCTTGCCTTCGGAGACGAGGTTCTAATATCTCACCCTTCACTTTCATATAAAGGAAAATCAGATACTAAGTAAAGGGAAACGAATGTGTCTGTCTTGTTAGCCTCTTTCAGCCTGGAAGAAATTCAGAATGCTCTTTCTTTTGTGTTCCTTACCCAGGCTGAAACTGAGCGATAAGCCCATAGCTAGGCCAGACGTTGAGCCTTGTGTTTGCTTTCTTTAAAAAGCTGAGAATAAAATACATATTAATGACCTGAAGGGCTCTGAGGGAATGAGTTGGACCTCACCCATCCTGGCTCAGCTCTCCAATGTCATGCTCTGGAGGAGGAGACAGGGACTGGCGTGGGGGAGATCTAGGCATCACTGCTACCACCAGCCCAGGCTTGGTAGGGTCATCTTTTTTGAATCATGCCTTCTCAGTGTAGATATGGTTATCTCTGTCCTTTCCTCATTCCTTCCAGGGTGGGTCATCTTCCCAGTGGGCACTTATCCCTGGAGCTGTCCAGTGCATGCTGCTTAGGTCTTCTTGAGTGGCCAGTTCAGTGGTCACCTTCTTGACTAGGGGTGATCAATTAATCATGAAACTTGGTTGAAATGGGAAGCTGTGGAAAGCCACAGAGTGTAAATACTGAATTTTCATTTAAAATATGTTAAAACATGTAAATGTACATTTATTGATCCTTTCCCCAACCTTCCCTCCTTCCCCTCCCTCCTTCCCCTCCATCCTTCGCTCCTTCCTTCCCTCCCTCCCTCCCTCCCTCCCTTCCTTCCTTCCTTCCTTCTTTCCTTTCTTCCTTTCTTTCTTTCTTTCTTTTTGTGCTGATATGGGGCCTTGAACTCAGGGCCTGCGTGCTATCCATGAGCTTTTTTACTCAAAGCTCGCACTCTACCACTTGAGCCACAGCTTCACTTTTGGCTTTTTGCTCACTAATTGGAGATAAGAGTTTCATGGATTTTTCTGCCTAAGCTGGCTTTGAACCGCAGTCCTCAGATCTTAGCCTCCTGATGAGCCAGGATTATAGGCATGAGCTACTGGTACATGCCTCCCTCCCATTTATTTATTTATTTATCAGTTGTGGTGCCAGAACTCTGGGCCTGAGCATTGTCCCTCAGCTCTTTAGCTCAAGGCTAGCTCTCTACCACTTGAGCCACTTCCAGCTTTTTCCACTTATGTGGTGCTGAGGAATTGAACTCAGGGCCTCATGTATGAAAGGCAAGCAATCTACCACTGAGCCACCTTCCCAGCCCCTCCTTTTTATTTTTATTTATTTATTTAGTCGGTTGTGGGGCCTGAACTCTGGGCTCCTTTTTATTTTATAAGTCTAAAAAGCATAAGCCATCCATTAGGATTCTATATTGCTTTACCTAAACCACAGCCATATACCTTGTTTGTGGTCTTTGTTTCAGTTTCTTTAAGATGTAATGAGAATTTTTTTAGGGTGCTTGGAAGCAATCTGGGGGCAGAATAAAGTCCTTTACCTGACTCAACAACCCTTCAATTAGCAGCTCCTCTTTCCTTTGAATCTTTCCAAAGCATTCAAGGTGGTTTTCATAGAGATGACTCTTTTCCCTCTAGTATTTCATTCATTGATGAACAAAATTAATTAAATGATGTAATTATAAGCACCAGTGAACATAAACAAATCTGGGACAGGCACGGCTGGTTCTTGCAAGCAGTTATGAAGCTTGAGTATAGAAGTGGAGTGGCAGAGAAATCTCCATGTGCCCTGACACTGTAGCCCATGCTGGGAGGGCACAGAGCATGCTCAGTGGTCTCCCCCCGCCCACATGTGCCCCTCTCCCCTTGCCCAGCTGGAGGGGAGCCAGGACAGGGAGCCAGGACAGCCAGGCTTCAGAATCCCATAGCCACTCTTCAGTGATGCCTTGGGGGAGTCACTCACTGACAACCATCCCAGACTCTCATCTACCAGAGGGATAACTCAACAAGGTCAACAGCACAAGTGAGGGGCACCTGTTAGGAGCCAAGCCATGTGGTAAGGTGGTGGCAGTAAGGCTTTTCCAGTGGGGTTGTTGCAAGCAAGAGGAGATTGTGTGTGTGTGTGTGTGTGTGTGTGTGTGAATGGAAGGCGTTGTCATACCTAAGAGAGAAAGCCCACCTTTTCCTCAGCTTTACCTTCAATGATGAGGTGAGGTTTATAAACCCTTTATCTTGGTGCCTGACAGAGGAGAGGCTAGCAATGACTGGTAGCCACTGCTGCTGTCTGTGTTCCGAGTCCCCTAGATGTCCCTCTCTCTGCCTACTCCCTTTGGTGTCCTTTGATTTCCCACTTCAACTTTGTTTTTTTAGTTTTTGGTGCCACTACTGGGGTGCTGGGCCCCTGGATAGTCTAAGCTTCTGTGTAAGAGAGGCTAAATGAGAAATGTTAACTTTTATTATTGTCTACTATGGCTTTCCAAATTATAGGTATGATTGTTTTTGCTACATGCTAATCTCTGGTGGTGATGAGGCTGGATAGATCTAACTACCTTCTCAGGACATATATGTGTTAGGATTTCTTAGAAAGTTGTACTCCAGAACCTGATCTTTTGCTCCCCCATCTCCTGATTTGTAATTCTGAACAGGTCCTAGTCTGCTCTCATGGAAGTTAAAAATTATGAACTATATTGGGCACGGTGGCTCACACCTATAATTTCAGCTACTAGGGAGGCAGAGTGGGAGGATCATGGTCCTGAGGAAAGCATTTGGAAGACCTTTTCTCAACCAATAGGCAGGGTCTGCCTGTCATCCCAGCGACACACGAGGCAAGACTGGGAGGATTCCAGTTCAAGATCAGCCCATGTAGAAAAGTTCTTGAGATTCCATCTCAACAGAACTGAATGTGCTGGTGTGTGCCTGATGCCCCAGATATAGTAGAAAACATAAAATAGAAGAGGGTCATAGTCTAAGAATGGGCCTAGGAAAAAACAGAGAACTTATCCCCGAATAACCAGTGCAAAATGGGGCTGGAGGTGTCTGTGGTAGAGGGTCTGCCTAGCAAGTATGAGACCCTGAGTTCAAATCTTAGTAATTATCAAAAACCATTATGGAAAGGGGGACACAGAAAGGGAGAGAGAAAGGGTGAACAATTGCAATCGTAGTATTCAGTATACACTATGTGGAAAATGAACTATGCAACTGGGCAGGAGGAAACTGGTGGGAGGGGGAAACTGGGAAGTAAAAGAAGGGATGGGATTGTCCAAAAGAATGCACACATTGGGGCTGGGAAGGTGGCTCAGTGGTAGAGTGCTTGCCTTGCATGCATGAGGCCCTGGGTTCGATTCCTCAGCACCACATAAGCAAAAAGCTGGAAGTGGCGCTGTGGCTCAAGTGGTAGAGAACTAGCCTTGAGCTGAAGAGCTGAGGGACAGTGCCCAGGCCCAGAGTTTAAGCCCCACGACCGGACCCAAAAAAAAAAAAAGGAATGCACATATTACTTGAATTGTGAAATGGTAGCCCCCCCGAACAACACCTTAATAATAACAATGAAATTATATGGAAATACATATAAAATTATATGGAAACACAATTCAGCCATTAAAAATAAAAGGTATGGATGGAAAGAGGAGGCTAGGGTAGTAGGCTCAGTGGTAGAGCACCAACCCAGCATGTGTGAGGCCCTGAGTTCAATCCCTAGCACTGCTAAATGAAAAGAAAAATTAAGTATCTATTGTTTGGCATGGAAAAGACATCCACAAACTGTTGAGTGAGACCCTGTCTTCCACTATTTGAAGGTTCTTTTTCTTTTAAGAATGAGTTTTCATTAATGATTTAAAAAATTCCCTTGGGGTTAGAGGTTTGGCTCAGTTGGTAGAGTATTTCCAATGAGCAAAAGCATCAGGTACTGAGCTCTACTCCCAGACATGGAACCCCCACCCAAAAAAATTCACTTGTCATTATCATTTTGAAAAAAGACCCAAGCAAGCAATTAAAAAACACACAAGTGGCTGCTTAGCCAAATGTGGTTGAAAGCAATCAGGAACTGGAATGTTTGGCTATTCCAACCCCAGTTAGGAAATAGCTCACATTTCCTATCTAGTGAAGGACCCACCTTACAAGGTAGTAGGTATTAGAATCTATCCCTTATGGATTACAAGGGTGATGGGCACCGACTTGGTGAGGGGTTTCCATAGGTCCTTCCTTCTTGTCCTCCTGCTAAGTGCTAGGTAGCTCAGTTCCCACCTTCCAAGTGAAATATGGCCCTAAGAAGGCGATTTCTCTAGGATTACAGATTGCCACTGCTAGGACTTGAACCCAGAGCTCCTAAACTCTGAACCTGGGGCTTTCTTAGAGGTCCTCTGGATTTCCTGGACCTCTTGGTAAATCTTGCTTCTTCTGTCTTTATTTTTTAGACGACTGAACCGGAACCAGCTTCACATGTTGCCAGAATTGCTGTTCCAGAACAACCAGGCTCTGTCCAGACTGTGAGTTCTGTGTCTAGAGTCTTCTCTCTGTGATTTTCTGCCACCCTGTGGGAAGCATGCAAGTATAGTCAATGGAGGCTGGATTTTCCTGTGGCTTGGACTCCACGCTCCTCACCCGGAAGAAATGGTTCTGTGGGAAGCTATTGTGTGGGACATTTCTCCACAGCAAGTGCTAGAAAGAAGCAGTTCATCCAGTTCTTTTTTTTTTTTTTTTTTTGGGTCTGATCATGGGGCCTGAACTCTGGGCCTGGGCGCTGTCCCTCAGCTCTTCAGTTCAAGGCTAGTGTTCTACCACTTGAGCCACAGCGCCATTTCCGGCTTTTTCTGCTTATGTGGTGCTGAGGAATCGAACCCAGGGCCTCATGCATGCAAGGCAAGCGCTCTACCACTGAGCCACCTTGCCAGCCCAGGCGGGGCTTTTGTTAAGTGCATGTTGTATTGCCTTTGGTCAGCTGCCTTGCACATTCATTCATTTGTTCATTCAAGAAAACCATTCTTGAATCTGCTTCTGTTTTCAGCTTCTTTTACTGTTTAGGGTAATGTGATCTATGAGCTTATTACCTGTAGTATCTGGCTGTCTTTTTATTTATTGTAAGTATACTTCTGAGTTGAAAGTATGGCCGCTAATTCTGCTGCTCTGTTATTTTCCAGAGGTATCTGTGATTGTTTTGTCCTGTATTTTGCTTTGTGGGATCTTGGCTTGGACAGCATCTTTGAAATTTACTAAGGAATCTCCCTGATAGTTCCTTAGCATGTGGCTCTGCAGCATTTGCTTGGTTACCTCTAGTGATGGGGAGTCCACCACCTCTCCAGGCAATTAATTCTGTTATCAGACAGATATGCATATTAGAAAATTCTTACCCTAGAATCTGCTTTCTAATAACTTTGCTTTCTGTAACTCTTTAGAAAAACCATGTACTTTTGTTAGTTTTTTTTTTTTAATTTTGATCTGGGAAGTTAAAAGGGCCACACTTCCCTAGCATGTGTGAGGCCCTGATTGGGACCTTCTTTGTGTGTAGCAAGGCACAAAGAGGAGCGATGGGTTTGACTCTTCTTCCCAGGTGAGGATGGGAGCTGGGTGGAGAAAGGGGCTTGAAAGCATGAAGGAATGCAGTTAGGCAAGAGATGGGGCTACCTGAGTGGCCAGGGACCTGGAGTCTGGACTAGCTCTTCTCTTCCTGACTAAATACAGCTGGCTCTTCCAACCGGTGCCATCATTTACAGGCTTCTTGCTAAGCTAGTGGTCTTTAGGTACCCTCACAATTTGCTGCTGATATACTTTCAGTCTTTTGAAAGTGGTCTCTCTGGTCACTTCATTCTTCTTCTTCCTCCTGACTGGGCCACTCTTCAGGGATCGTCTGTGCCAGGCCCATTGTCTCCTACTGTGTAGGCACTTTTTCTTTACTCAGCTGATAAAGGCACCAGATTCTTGTGCCGGCAGGTGCAGCTATTGTAATGTCTGTTTCATATGTGGTTCATGCACTGCTCTGTGTCATTCCATGATGGTTGGTTTGGTTCATGTGGTCTGTATGGTCCATGCACTTGTCTGTGTGATCTATGCACTGGGCTGTGTGGTCCATACACTGGACTGTATGATCCATGCCTTAGTCCATGTGGTCCATGCACTGACCTGTGATCTATGCACTGGTCTGTGTGGTCCATGTACTGATCTGTGTGGTCCATGTACTTGTCTATGTGATCTATTCACTGGTCTGTGTGGTCCATACACTGGACTGTATGATCCATGCCTTAGTCCATGTGGTCCATGCACTGACCTGTGATCTATGCACTGGTCTGTGTGGTCCATGTACTGATCTGTGTGGTCCATGTACTTGTCTATGTGATCTATTCACTGGTCTGTGTGGTCCATACACTGGACTGTATGATCCATGCCTTAGTCCATGTGGTCCATGCACTGACCTGTGATCTATGCACTGGTCTGTGTGGTCCATGTACTGATCTGTGTGGTCTATGTGTTGGGCCATGGGTCTACACACTGCTCCTTGTGGTCCATGCTGTAACTGGCCACACACAGGCAGCCGGCCTTTCCCTTTGTGCACATCCACCTTATTGCCCTGTACTTCCTTCCAAACCACTGTCTTGGGCTTACTGGCTGCATCTCGGTATTACCGTTTTTTAGGGTAGTCACAATCCTGACTCCCCTCGTACTCCCTATCACTATGGTGCTCATATCCTCACTGTGTCTTAGGTCTCAACTTCAAATTATGGGGAGAAAGAATCTGACTGGTCCATCTTAGGTCAGATGATCACCCTGGACAGTGAGCTGTGCTAGGGTTTGTGGGATGGCTGGAGCTGGTGCCTCCTCAGGAGCTGGAGGTGGGATTTATTCCCTCAGAAGAAAAGCTAACACCAGGAGGCAGTGCCTGATATTTCTGGTCTCTTACTTGACCTTCCCTTTGCTTCGGAGATATCTGTTACTAATCCTTTTCATCTGGAGCAAATTAGGGACTTTCATGCAGAGGACACTCTGAATCAGCATGAAGATGGGCTGGAGAGACAACTGTGCTGGGAAGGGGTGCCACAGAGCGTGTAGGTGGAGTGGTCCATGTTTCAGTTGATACAGTCTGTACAGATTCTACAAGTTACAATCCTTCTACTGGTTGTTCTTTATTAGTAGATCCTGGTGTTGGGTTAGCCTGTTCATTCCTCCCAAATGCAGGATCATACTCTCAGAGCAGGGCTTTGCCTTGGACCACAGAGCATTTTGATGATGGGGTTAGCGTTAACCACCAGGTCTCTAAAGGTCTGTAAAGAGCCTGAAAATGGGCTTAAACTATACCTAGAAATCTTACTGTTGGGCATCTACCCTAAGGGAATAATAAAACCTGCGCATAAATATGTTCATTGCAGCATTATTTAGAATATTGAGGATGTAGATTGGGAATAACCTAGCTATCCAACATTGGGGGAGTGGTTAGGCAAATTATGTATGTCTATTTTATGGGGATACTTATACAATCATTAAAAATGACTTTTATGAGACATGTCAAATATTGTAGATGGTTGTGATATCAAAAGCCAGGATGTAAAGTTGTATTGGTATTATGGCTCCTGAATGAATTATTCTAAATAATGCATGGAAAACTGACTGCAGAATGCCAGGGGGATGGCCTGTGGGTGATTTTATTTTCTGTGTTTTGAAGGATGGATGATGATGATGACGATGATGATGATGATGTGGTATCAGTCCTGGGGCTTGAACTTAGGGCCTGGGTGTTGTTCCTGAGCCTTTTTGCTCAAGGCTAGCTCTCTACCATTTAAGTCACAGCTCTACTTTTGTGCTTTTGGGTAGTTAATTGGAGCTAAGAGTATCATGGACTTTCCTGCCAGGGTTGGCTTTGAACCACAGTCATCAGATCTCAGCCTTCTGGGTAGCTAGGATTACAGAGGTGAGCCATCAGTGGCTGGCAGATGTATTATTTTTATATAAGAAATTGGACAGCATTTATCAGAACCATGAAACCTCAGGTTTGAGTGAAAACTGTTGTCTGTGGGCTGGGGATGGAGCTCAGTGGTCAAATCCTTGCTGAACTCTTAGCACCAACTCAAACAAAAATGAAGACTGTCAGTTATATGACATTGTTGAGCTTCTTTTAGCCCTGAAGAACCTGTTGTTCTTTTCTGGGATGGAGATAACAATGTCTGACTCTCAGAGCTGTTGTGAGGATCAAAGAGAAGTATGACCCTCACCTGTGGTGACCCTCACCTGTGGACCTGTAGGAGGCATTGGGATGATCACACTGGGACGGCCTTGCAGACTCCTAACCCCAAACACTTGTCCAATATCAGTGTTGGATTCCCTCATCTCTGCAGAGGTTTACCTCACCCAGAACCTTACCCCTTAACTCAGAATCCTCCCCTTGCTTTCTACTCTGCTCCTACAGAGTACCCAGAGGAGTCTGTAGCAGGAGTTTGGTATCCTGGACAGCAGAGCTTGGGATGCTGTGTGTGTGTGTGTGTGTGTGTGTGTGTGTGTGTGTGTGTGTGTGTGTTGGTGCCAGTCCTGGGCCTGGGCACTCCCTCTGAGCTTTTTTGTTCAAGGCTAGTGCTCTACCCCTTGAGCCACAACTCCAATTCAGGCTTTTTGCTGGGTAATTGGAGATATGAATCTCACAGACTTTCTTACGTGAGCTGACTTTGATCCATGATCCACAGATCTCACCCTTCTGAGTAGCTAGGATTATAGGTGTAAGCCACTGGCATCTGGCTCCGGATAGTCATTTTTAACGAAAGGAACCTGCATTTTGGATTCTCAGCTAACTTCCTGAGCAGTGAAAAGAGAACAAACATGGAACATGTAGAATATATTGCCCTGGAAACATTTTCCCGTACCCTAAAATCACAGGTAACGCCCCCACTTCCTTGAAGACCTTTCATTGAGGCCGAGTGTGGAGTTCCTGCTCAGTGTCCCCTCCCTATCAGAAGAGCATCCATCTCCTCCTGCTCCAAGTTCATGGCTGCAGAAGTTAGCCTGCGCAGAGACAACCACAGTCTCCCAGGGGAGGTTTCAGCAACAGCAGCCGAGGCAGTGATGATTAGAATGAATGAAGGTTATCCCATGCCGGGCTCATGCATTATCTGATCTCATCTACAGAGCATCTCTGGGAGGTCAGTCAGCATTTTCCCCAGCACAGCACTGAATGAAAACCTGCAAGCTTGGAGGGTGTATGAGGCACCTGAGGGGCTGAGCCTGTCTGTTGCTTGGGTGTCACCCAGGTACCTCTCACTCATCTACTTCCTCCACCCCTCCCCCACTGACCACCCCTGCACCCCACTGCTCAGCTGCTTCTCCACCTCTATCTCTCCAGTCTTGTACCTATGCACCCTCCCTCTTCTCCATCCACCAAGTCACCAATCAGGTGACTTTATACTCAGAGCTTCATTCTCATCCTCTTCCTCCATCTCCCATTTAGTGCCCTCCCTCCATCCGCCCACCTGCCTCCTCTTCTCTACTCACTAGCCCCTGCCACTCCTCTACC